TGGTAGAACAAACTTTAGTATATTACTGAATTAAAATTTAAATAAAAAAAACTGCTTTTAAGTAGGGGTGGGACTCGGTTTAAAAATAATCTAACTAATTGGTGGTTTTGTAATTGATTAATCATGCTTAATCACATTTTAATCAGTCAAGAAAATTTCCATTAAAATCAGTTTTTTTATTAAAAAATAATGAGGCAGCGACTCAAACAATAGACATAGACATTTTATTTGTAAGCTCAAGATCTTTCACTTTTAAAAATGCTTTAAAATTGTATTTCCATAGAAAACAGCACAATTAATTTGCTTTGAAACTGTTGCTGGCATAGGCTGGAGCTATTCCAGAAGCCACACTAAGTAGCCTTCTACCTCCGTGACTAATTGACACCACGTTTGGATCGTTAGGGCCAGCAGAACAAAGTATTACTCACCTAAATTAGATTGACAGCTCAGTCAGCCAATGAGACTCATCATAACACTGACATACAAAAACGAGGAAAGAGAAAAGCTCTTGGTGTTTGAGTTCTGAGCCTGTTTTTTTTTTCAGTCAAAATGGCTTTGTTTTATGTATGAACTGTTTTCAGTGTGACTAAAGACGTAGGGCTAATATCAAACGATAAGAAAACCTGGATAGAACAAACTTTTCAAGGTGAAACATCAAAGGCAAGAAACTTTTTGGAGGTCTGCTGGTGAAAACCGTTTCTTCTTTTGCTGCTCTCTGGCTTCTATCTTTGTGAATTGTATGTGTAGTGTTGGGAGATTCGCATTTAGAGTTGGTAGGGCCTGAGCTTTTAAATGGATGGATAGAATGTGTGTAAAATTAGATTTTTAGCAGCTTTACAGACAGAAATGAAGGCAAAAACACACACATAAAGAGGATTTTCTGATCACTCATTTGATTGTAATCTTATCTGTGTTTGGAGCATATCAAAAGGTTTGTGTGGTCTTGTAGCCAAGCTTCTGATGTTTTATTAGCGGTGCAGCTTGATGATATTTAGGGCATATATTTTGCTACTAAACTTCAATGCTCGTCAATTTGGGGCCCCTCAGGCCCAAATGGTTAAATGCATACATTTTGTTAACAGGTTATTTTTTTTATAAATAATCATAATTAAAGCATTAAAGTACCATGCCAACTTTTAACATTGTAGTTTTTTAAATTCTCACTTATAATAAAATAGAAACAAATCTTGGTGTGAACATTAACAGGTTATAAATAAAGAAAGACAATAAAATATTTCAGCCTTCCAGATAAAATTCCTTTGATTCCAGCAGGTAACCCTTTTTTTACTTCTTGCTGCATTTCAGAGTAAATGAGAATGCAGCAGTGAAGGCCTTCTCACGCTCTGACATTAAAGCTCTCAGCTTGACTTCCTCACTCTGCTCTAGCCCCTCGTGTTTATACAGACTTTTTAGTTTATCGTATGGTTAGCAATTTTTTATGCTGCACCAGAAGAGTGGAATACTGCTCCGATGGGGCACTGAGCAGCTCAAAGGGGCCGTGTGAGCGCCTGATATGAGGTTGAAAGTCCTTGTCCCAGCAGGTTAGAATTTCAGCATATCTCTACTAAATAAATGCCCCGAGAGCTCAGAATTTTTTTAAAATATATGTATGCGTATCAGTCCGCTCCAGGGGTGTTCTCTTTTTTTTCTGCTCTCCGCTCACATGCTGATCATACAGACGGTTGCAAACCAGCAGCTTTGAAATCTTAGCCTCCCAACACACGCTGATGCAAGAGCTGCACACTCTGAAATACAGAAGATGGGAAAGGAAACAAATTCATATTTGAAAACAAGTTTAAAATTTTGCACACATAAGGGAGTCTGTGTTGCCCTGCATTCTTCCAACAAGCTGTTGGGTGAGTGTGTAGTCCCACATGCTAACAAGCCATCAACAGAATGAAACATTTGCACCACACAGCACTTTATTTCCCTCCCACAAATGCGTACAAGTTGTACTGACCCCTGCCGCTTAATTTGTTTGTGGGTTAAGCCGAGATGGCATGGTTGTGGCGCTCAGATGTGGAAGATTTGATCAAAAATGTGAGATTTCAGTTTCTTATTCTACCAATATTGAATCAGTTATGAATTATTCAAATAGATAAACTGAATGAATAAACACGTAAATAAACTAATTTCAATTAAACCAAGTAAAAGTTTTGAAATACTCAATGTAGAAAAAGTTAGTTTCAGTAGAAATACTGAGTAATTAAGGAAATGGAAAAAAGCAGTGAAGAAATAATTGGGGTTTTCTTTCAAAACTCATGTCACCGCACAGTTTTAGAAACCAAAGAGCTTTGAATGAAACATACTGACTTTTTAGGAAAAGAGATCAGAATACGCGTCCACAGTTTGCTGTAATTTTAGTATAAATAAAACTGTTTTGCGTATAATCTTTCCCCGCGGTTTCAGTTCATGAGTTTATTTTGTTGAAGACGATTCTGTTATTGCAAGTAGTAGATCCAACCATTAGAAAATTAACAATATGGCTGAACACAATCAGGTTTGTGTTATTTGATAAAACATCAATGTTTTATCCCAAGAAAGAAGAGTGAACGATGGCAGTAGAAGAGTTGCATGTCTGTCAGCCAATCAGAGGTTAGCCATTTCCATATCATGAATATCAATGAGTAAGACTCCAAATCCTGCTGTTTTCTGCCCATTAGTCCTTCAACGAACTTCTATCCCCTGAAATAGGAGCTCAACATCTTTTTTCCACAGAGAATTCCTCAAAAGCATATATTTATACTAAAGATAACAAATATAACAAGTATAACTTCTGTTGTATTTTTTATTGAAAATGAAGAGCCAAACAAAATTTGCAATGATAAAAAAAAGTCCAGCAAACTCATCAGAGGATAATTTTGTGTCTGGGAACAAAAATAAATTATCTTTCAATCCATGCATCCATTATCATCTGCTTATCCCAAGTTGGGTCGTGGGGGCAGCAGCCTAAGCAGAGAGGCCCAGACTTCCCTCTCCCCAGCCACTTGGGCTAACTCCTCCGGGGCAATCCTAAAATGCCAGCCGACAAACATCGTCCCTCCAGCGGGTCTTCCTTTGGGTCTCCTCCCAGTTGGACGTGCCTGGAAAACTTTACCAGGGTGGCATTGAGACAGCTTTCTAAACAACCACCGCACGCACCTCTCAGTGCGTGAACATTTCTACATTTACTGTAAATGGGGGAAAAAATGCATTGGACTAAGAATAGATCCCTGAGGAACTCCACGTGTAGGAAGAGCAGTCGATTATGAAAGACAGCTCAGTCATAAAGCTGCAATAGTTAAAATGGTTCAATCAAAAGATTTCAAGATGTCTGATCTGCATCCTTACAACCAAAACACTTGCTATGATGCAACAATGTGATGCATGATGGAAAAGGCAGTTTGCATCATGTTGAAACCAGAGAATACGCCACTTAGAAAACTGTATCTGCTCTGATATTGTTATCTACTCAATGCATTTACAACAAAACAAGCAGAACGCATCATGCAAGTCAGCAGACAAGCGTTTAGCTACAGCTCTTCATCTCTCCCTTTGCTGTAAATGTTTGGACGATTATCTGCTACTTTCACACATTATCTCACTTGGCAATCTTTCAGAAAGAAGGTCTGCAGGGGGAGATGGGTAGAAAATCACATCAAGAACTCTCAGCAAAAGCCACAAACATCTGTGTTTTTTTCCTGAAACGTTTTCCATCCTTGTGCACATTTTCAGTTCTTCCTTTTTACCTTCAACCGCTCTCATCTTGATTCAGTCGTTCCCATTAATTGTTTACCTCAGAGTTAGAATTTAAATCATCTTAGTTCTATTTAGAAAATGATAACTTTCCGATTCATTTTTGTTTGACAAACATGAAGATGATGTATCTAAGTCAGAGGAACACCATTTAAATCTGGGGTTTCTGAAACACGAAACGACCTTGTTTTCCTGCCCGACGCGTCTGCGAGGGCAGGCATCACTGATGAATGGGGTGCTTTTTTGCATTTCTCATTCCCAGCATCTACCTCATATTTGTTTCCAGCATTGATAAGACCTGGCTTTATCAGTGCACTTAACGAGAAAGAAAGGCACTGTCTGCATTGGGTGCGGAAGAGATGGGTAATTAGCTGACAGCTGACTCAGGCTGCTCGCAGCTTTGTGTGTCAGGGTGGGGATGGAAAAACCGATGAAGCACATCTTCTCGGGTGTCATAAAGCTTTGCTTTATGGCCAGTTTGTGTAGCCTTGCAGATTAAGTTCAAAGAAAAAGGCGGCTGGTCTTTTCTCAATGCATCTTAAATCCTGTTTCTCCTCAGCTGAATCTGTAGATCAATTCTTCGTGCTGAGATATCCCTGGTGTCAGCATCTAAAGGGGAAGCCACAGGAAAGATGAGAGGGACTGCTGGTCTAAAAATACATTATTAAAGGGACAATTTCACCTGATTTAACAGTACTTATAAAGCAGCGTGACTCTTCTGGTGAAATATGCACATTTTCCATCATTCTGTTGTGGCTTTCATCAGCATCATAAGCAAGAAAGCTCGACGAGCAGCGGGCGAGAATTGCTGCCTCCATGGGAATGTGAGAATCGCCTTTTAAATGCAATGTTCACATTCATAAAGCAGGAACATCACAGCCAGTCAGTGGCTCGTCTATGGCCCGTGCAATGAGTTTCCTCAGGATCTACCAACTGTGTTTATCTGCACACTTAAAAAATAGACCGGTTCCTGGAGACGGCACACCCTTTCTCTGTTTAGACACAAAGATCAGTACAAACAACGCATAGCCGTCTAATCTGGGACTTCACTGCACAGCAGACGCAGGCTTGACTGATACTGATATTACTCCTGTGAGGTTCAAAGACAAATTAAGCACTCAGTGTTTCCTTGACTCAATAACAGGAGTTGCAGGAGACACGTCAGTGGGATAAAAAGAGGCTCCAGCATGCATTATTCTGCATTTCAGCTTCAATAGCTAGATAATTTCTTCACGGGACTAAATTTATAAAAATCACACAAATAATTTCTGCACTTTGGTCATTTATTTTTTTAAAAGTCAAAAAAGTATGAACAGAGTTGTTATGTTGACAAAAAGTGTATAGCACATTCAATCATGAGACTTTTTCCACACCTACTTATGTTGCAACCACCCACCAAGAGTTTTAGTAGACCACACAAAACATCAGTGTTTGCGACCGTAGTGGATTATTTTCCACAATTTATTTGGAAATGCATCAACATTAAAGGTGTGGGATCCTTATTTAATAGATACATTTGCAGTGGTGATCTGGTGGGAATGAATGCCTTGTAAGTCGAACTCAGGGGGCAAAAAACAGGAACTAGAAGTGAGCTACATCACAGCTGATCTTCAGACGGCAGGTTTTAGACACTTACTTCCTGATAGTTGGGCATCATGCCTCAGATTAGATAACAGCATCTTTACTCAGCCACTCACTTGCAACGTGAATGTTTTGTCAACATAAATAACACAAGCCTGGAGAAGTACTGCTGTGTGGTGATAATAGTTAGCTCCTGCTAACCAAGCTGTTCTCTGCTGTTTCCTGGACGCTAGAAAAAACATCAACCTTCCCCGTTGTGAGTTGAAAAGGGGGAGTCCATGAATGTTAAAGGCATACTATGCAACTTTTCATATTTTTAAATCACTTTCTTGAGCCAGTATGCACTAAAATGACCCTTTACAGGGCAATGAAATGCCACTCAGACCCCGACTGCCCTCTGTGGCCAGAATATCCCACTTGCAACTTGTGCATGTTTTAGATCATGATCACAGCTGATTTGTTTGATTTCGTGATGAACCATTCCTGTGGAAACTTATGAAGGCCCAGGAAACACTTCAGCTGTTGGATTAAAATGACAAACACACTGCGAGGAGATAAGTTTTACTTTTGGTTTTACTAATGGACACTAGGGGGTGCTAAAAGCAAGCCAAAACTGCAAAGTCACTCGTTAAGTGGCAGTGTGAAGTAGATCTGTCAGGCTTTACAAATCTTGGAGTTTCATCATCAGTTTTCTATCACAAAATAATGCAGGAGATAGGTGTAGGAGACTATTAATATGTTCAGCCTACATGAAAAACTCAGAGTGACAAATTATAATCAGAAATAATCATTAAAAATGTTTTTTTCCATGTTTTCACACATTACATTTTATAGGAAATCTAACTTGTTTCAGGTCCATTTCATAGAAATTTCCTGTTCAATAATATAAGATTATTCTTCTAAAGATAACTTAAATGTTTAAACAGTGAATAAAGCATAAAATATAAGAGGATATCAAGTACTCGGTATGACTGAGAGAAATCAGCACATCTTGTATGATCTGCAAACTGAATCAACCCAAACCTGCGTTGGGGTATATGTGAAAGGCAGCATCTAAACCACAATATGTAAATGCATGAGCAGATCTGAAATCATTTAAAAATGTTTTTTAAAAAACAAACCGGATTTTAAATAAAAATGTCATGTGCGTGTTTTTAAAGGCAGCACACATTCAGGAAAAGCCTTACACCTGGCAACGTTTGTCTTTTAGTTTTAAATCATGGATCTGACCATGCTTTTGTTTTTCATCTTAGTCTTTACACACAAACACTGGAGCACAGGAAGATGTGTGAAGGATTCAGTCTAGAAGGCTGTTGTTTGCAGAAATACTTTCAGCAGAAGATTTTCTCTTACAGCTGTAAATGTGATGGATGACGTACAACGGTGGATTTCTTTTTTCTTCGTCGTGAACAGAATGTGGGACGTGATGCAAAAAGAGGTGAGAGATAAATGTGTGTGTGTTTTAAGGCATTATGATAGCATGTAAGGCTGATGTGATCCTGGTACCTGAAAATGTCAGAAGAATCAGTTACATAATAAAGGCAGCCAGTCCTCCAGGCAGTAAGAAGCAGAAGCACACCTGCAAAATCTGGAAGGATTTGCTGCTGCATTTGCACTTTTGCTCACCTGCTGATCTTCCAGATGGAGGTCAGGTGGGAAACGTGACAAAAAGTCCAAAGGCTGCAGGTCGTTTTAGGCTTCATATCATCAATAACAACAATTTCTGGTTTTAAATGTAAAAGTGAAACTATAATTGTGATGATTGTGGCTCACAGCTTATCAAAACCCCAAACTCAAAATGTCAGACAATTAGGATATTGTGAAAAGGTTCAATATTCCAAATTCAAAATGTCACACTCTAATCAGTTTATTAATCCAAAACGCTTGCGAAGGGTTCCTAAGCCTTTAGATGGTCTCTCAGTCCAAGATGAATCACTGACATAAATGGAATTTTTCCGTTTCACCTGTATCACCCATCGACATAGAAATATAGGTATCACCCTAAATAAACTGTGACTGATTAAAGGGAGATCACTGAGTACTAATCTACTGATTCTATCATTAGGGCAGGCTGGTTAGTTGTTTATTTCTGTGCTCGTTTTTACTTTTTTTGAGGTACGACTATCATGAAACACAAACAATGCCACAAGAAGATGTAAGCAACTTTCTTTTAGCAGGTTTAAACTTTTATAACCTAAAAGCAAATGAGAAGATATTTTAGCTACAGTAATGATGATGTAAATATACAGTAGAAAGCCCTTCCAATGTGATCCTCCTCTGTGAAAGGGGTTTATTAGGTAAGAATTTTTGATCAGTTTCATTTTCCCTATGATTTCTATGGCAGTTTAGCACAAAAATAAGAGCATTTGTTTGGTTGATTATTTCTTTATCGTAACAACCTGAAAGAACAAGCTGACAGAGAAACAATTTTTTAAACATGATCGGTCACCCTGAGTTTAACTCGTTCACTGCCAATGACCACTAAAGTCGTCATTTGCATTCTTTTTCTGTGTGGGCATCGGAACGAGCCCCCGCACCGTGAGAACAAACATCTCAGCTCTAAAGCCGATCTCCAGCCACATACGTCACAGGTCACATGGTCAGGAAGCAGAAAATCCACGTGTTAGGAGATCGTTTTGGGCCGTTTTGCTATTAAAAAAAAGTGAGGCGTGAACCGGAAAAGCTTCTGCTGATCACAATTCAACGGATTATGAAAGAACGGATGACGCTCAAAACACACGGATTCTTCCTGATGTAAGAGGTGAGTCGGTTGTTTTGGCGTTGCCATTATCCTAGCACGCAACGCTCTGTGACTCTTAAAAAAACAGTAAAAACGGTGAGAAATGCTGGCAGCGAAGGGCTTTACCGATCAGGAAACGGCTGGCAGCGAATGAGTTAATATGCAGGTTGAATGTGAAGTATTCTCCTACCCCTATTTCCTGCATTAGCCTAGCCTGGCCTGCCAGATTCCTCTGTTTAATTCTGCACAGAGAAAGGGTCTGGGAACTCTCCTATTCAAATAACCCCACCCCGTGAGAATTCTAACCGAGCCAATCAGTGCTGAGTAACGTACGTCACACACCATAATGCTGAGTTTTTTGTCGAACATGGCGACTGAAGCGGAGTTCGCTGCGGCTCTATCCTCTGTTCTAAATGACTCAAATGTCTTTAAAACCACAAATAGAAGCGCTAAAAGTATTTCTTCTGAAAAAAAAAAAGTTTGCGCCATTGCCAGACGCCATTTTTTTTACTACAACTAGAAAACGACAGCGTCGTGCGGTACAGTCGGGATTTTTTTCTTTTTTCTGATTGGTTACTTTTGAGCTGCCTAGTCCCGCCCCTCATGTGCCTCTCTGCCTGTGAGTTACCAGACTCTCTCTGTGCAGAATTAAACAGAGGACGAGTCTGGCAGGCCAGGCTAGCATTAGCCACCTCTAGAAAATAGACAGGGAAATGATCAAATTAGAAAAGCCAGTCAGATCTACGTCACACTGATAATTAGCAAAGATGAACTCAACCATCTTGGCTCGCGATGAGAAAAGCCATTGTTGATTCAGCATCCAGGAGGGAGCAGAACACCTCTAGGCTAGTAGAAGCTAACCGTTAGCAAACAAAGTCAGTGGTTGAGTCGCGTTGCTGTTAACCAATCAGAGGCGAGATTTTCAAATATCAGGAAGTATGACTCCAAATCATGTTGTCTTCTGCTCACTTCTTCTCTGGCTCACTTCTAGTTCCTGAAACAGGAGGGCCAGAGGTTTTTACTCTCAGTGATCGACTCACAAGGCTTTCTTGTATAGAGACCACTGCAAATTGGTTGAAAAAAATGAGTGAACTTGGTCTTTAATGGTAAAAAACCCTGATTGTTCACAAATTCTACAAGGTGCTTGCGAAGACTGTGCATCCATGGAATGAGCTGCACATCTAAACATATGGTCTACACCACCCACAACGTGCCAAAATGCTCAACAATGTTTACTTATTTACTTATGTTTTAAGCCTCTAGGGCCACCAGCTGTGGTTCAGTCACAGCAGTTTGACTTCAATAAAACACATTCATTCATTAATTCAGGAACCAGTACTAGATTTAGGTAGCCTGGGCATGCTATATGTGCAGAAGCGACCAACACCTAGCCTGGCAAGCCACGCTCCACTGACGGCTCTCAGTTGTGGGGCGGGTTCTACCGTTGTCTTTCAAATGATCTCTGCATTCCACTGGACAATGAATGTGACATACTCTTGTTTCACTCTGTTGCATCATCCCACCCACCAGGCATAGAGTGCCTTGATTGGCCCACAAAGCGGATAAAGCTCTGTGATTTGTTCACTAAGCAGATAGAGCACTATGATTGGCCCACCATTATGGACCAATCACAGCTCTTTATGTGTTTGAAACCCCTCTAGAGAGCTGTGATTGGCTAGCCAGAGTCCTGGTAGGAGCTGCTGACTCAGCTGAGGTTCCAATGGAGCATGCCTAGACCAAACTTTGCAAAGCAAGAATTTGGTCTAGTTCACTAGGCTAACCAACACCATCATTCTAGTAGACCACCGGTTACTTCTGGTTGAGGATCTCAGTCCACAGGAACATGTGACCAGAATTAAGAGGAGGAGCCAAGCTGCTGTGGCTGCGTATGGATCTTTTACTTCCTACTATTGTAGGATGCAGAAATGTAAAAATGGACAACGTGTTGTTTTTCTGGGTTTTTGTGGGTTAAAAAAAATTAGCCATGCAACTCAGGACAAGAGTGAATGCTGACAGAAGAATATTTCAGGGGATTTGTCTCTTTTTTGTGGGAAGCATCTCATCCGAGCTGGGATGTTCATTTGCTTAATGCATTCCAGTGTTATAATGCTTATTACTAAGAAGCATCATTAAGACAAAGGAATAATTGAAATAATAAAAACAACGTATGTTTCAATTTTTTTTGCAAAATCTTTGCAACAAAATAATTAAATATTTGGCATTTTCAAATATTTTAAAACCAGATTCTACACACATCCTTGAGTGTCAGAACCAACTCCTTTGTTCTCAGCACCACACACACACACACACACACACACACACGCACACACACACACACACACGCACACACACATGCACACACACACACACTTGACACTTTAAACACCTTAAGAAAACCCTCAGATGCTGATTAATCATTTAGTCAAAATTAATTGAGTTACATTCATTTCATCAGCATCTTGGCAGACTCAGCTTGAACACTTGAGTAAATAAAAACCACCATTTTAAACCCCAGAATCACGTGACAGGTTGAAATATTCTGTGCTCCACCAAACTATGTGACAAGTTTCTGAGTTCGGCAGCAGAGTGAACCTGTCGGTATCCCAGCAGGGCCAGAGTGTCGTTACAAAGACTCTGAACCGTTCTCACGATGTCAAAACTGAGACGAAGCCTCCAGCTCTCTGCTGTGACTTTGGAGTCTCTGGTGGTGGAGAATTTGTAATTCCACTCAGACGAAGTCGACACGTTGCTGTTTGTGTTCTTCACTATCCACATCCTGACTCTGTCTTCCATCTCCAGCCCGACAAACCTGTAGATCTCAGTGGCCTTGGCCTCTGGGTTATGAGCCAGGTCCTCGTATCGCACCAGAAGGTAGCGTCCCTGCAGCCACGCTGGCCTCTGCAGGCTTGTTTCTACTGATGCCGCCATGTCATTACAGGTGCTCGTGATCTGCGACAAGTCCACATACCGAGGCTGCCGCCCGGTTGCGTTCCATATTTTCCAAGCACGAAACTGGTCCGAAAACGCCATTATTCGTGACGTGAGGATGGCTCTTGGATCCCTCACCAAGTGAATGATTTTCAGATCCAGACGTGGATCTTCTGTCAGCATCCTCAGATCCCCGACCTCAGGAATCCTCACGGTTTTTATGGCAACGTGTCCTCGTGACAGACACGACATAGAGGCAAGAGTGAGGTTCAGAGGCCCGCATTTTTTAGGACACCAGGTTTCATCGGGCGGCTCGAAGGCTGCCGTGTCTGCTCCTTCCAAACACACGGGAGGTGAACACAGCGCGTGGCTGGAGCTCCGTCGGAAGAGGGAGCTCGTGATGTGGTCCTGGGTCTCAGGGCGGATGTAGTTCTCCATGAAGTGGAGGTCACATGTGTACAGGTTCAGGAGAAGGTCCCTGTGAGCCCCTAGCAAGGTCCGGCGGTCTAAGCGGCGCAGCCAGCTGCTGGAGTTGGTGAAAGCTTGCTGGACGTGGTAGAGAGGCTCAAACACGTAGAAGACCCCAGGATGATGGTTGAGGAGCTGCCCGGTGAAGGAGGAGCCGCTGCGCGTGGTGGCAAACAGGAGAATGTGCTTTTGAGGGAACTCAAAGGGCATCCAGCTGTCATCGCACAACGCCGCCCATCTGGAGTCTTTGAGAAAAACCCAGCATAGTGTGTCATTAATATCACTTTCTCACAAAAGTGACAGCCAAATAAAACACCCCAGAATAGATGGTTTATATCATTTAAATCTATGACAAAATATAATCAGTTCTGCTCATTTCAGAAGAAAAACTTCAGCTCATAAATGCAAACTGGAGCCTTTTATGATCCTAGAAAGTTGAGCCAATAAAGTTTAAATAATTTAGAGGGTAAATATGCATGAGTAGGCTGCTCGTCTGCCGATGGTTTCCGAGGAGACTTATGAGGCGGCGGATCTCTAAATATAGAGCAAATAGCTGATGTGTAATTAGTGCTGATGAACAGTTGATTGCAAAGAGGAAGTTTTTTTTTGGGGGGGGGGGGGGGGGGGGGGGGGGGTTACACAGGAGCCCGACACTGGCAAGTTACAGCTGTGCTACAAGAGGGTGAAATTGGCTAACGAATCAAACATATTTCACTTTTCTATTTGATCCACTTACAGGGATTTCCCTTATTTAACAACCAGCTTCCTTCCTTTCTACTTCTGCATGCTTGAGCAGTGAAATATCCTGATGTTTCTCCTGAATGCCCTTTTTGAAAATCTAAACAAAACTGCTAGTTAAAAAAAATGACAATGCTTTGCTTTAGACACCTTTCTCCAACGATGCAGACAGATTGTAGGAGTTATAACAGCATCTGGGACAGTCTTAGCTTCCTACCTCCATGGTGTCTGCTGCGGCAGCGGTAGGCTCCCCGACAGGGTCCAGACAGTGAGTCCCTCAGGGTTCGGATGGCTGTGTACTGGACCCCTAGAGACGCACACACCAGCAGCAGAACCGTCTTCCAGGAGCACTCCATCCTGCCTCCACCTCTGGCTCTACATCCTTCACGCTGGAGCCACCAGGAAGACACGGAGAGACACACTAAATGAGATTTCATTATGATAGCACCCCCCACCCCCCACCCCCTTCGCCAAAGGTTCATGCATGTGCTGCTTCTGCACATTAAGGCCTGCGGGGTTTAAAGGCCTTGTCGACTGAGCAGCTCTTATTGGAGCAGTTAGAAACATTGCTCAAGGGGACTTCAGCAGTACGTGCATGTTTAACATTTCCTTTGCAGATTATTCTGGCAGGTGCAGAATGTACACCTCAACAGCAGCAGGCTCCTCCTGTAAAAAATGTGTTTTTTAATTAGTTAGATTTGGGAAAATTGGCCTCGTCTCTCATGTTGGTGCATTAAATATGAAGCAGTCTTTTAGCATCTGGCTGTTGAAATACTGACAAACATACTTGAAACTCCCAGGCCTAATGCTATGCTGAGTGGTAATTAAAGTTTAAGGAGAACCCATCAAATCAAACTTTCTCTCAAAGGCAAAGAAAAAGACATCCCAAGAAATATTTTATCTGCAAGGAGAGGAAAAAAAATCAAAGAGACTTAGTATTTTTGACGCAAGCAGCTTAAACATTGAGGATTGGTTCCTGAAAAGCTCATATTTTTATAATTCCTGCAAAAATAATCAAAACAAGAAAAGAAGCTAAGGTCAGAACTTTCTTTTTGAAATGAGTAATGGTCTTATCTGCAACTGGTCAGGATACTCTGAACACTGTTGCATAATTGCATTTCATCTTCGCTTCCCCCTCTTCTGGGTAATTAAGCCTCTAAGCCCAGCAGAGAGCTACGCACTCAGATAAATATAGCTGTCTTCACGAGCGGAGAAGTTTCTTTTGTATGCTTCCGAGTTTGCCGCCACTGGGCTTGGAAGAGCAAAGGGAGATGTGAATTTTCCAGATAGAGTTGGGGAAATAAAGTGCTGCCATTTATTCTGACAGTGGAGACCCCTGGGTGCAAACCGCCCCTTTATGCTCTCGATGTGGCGTTGCTGAGCCCACCATCACCCACACCATTGGCGAGCATGGATCATACTGCTGCTGCCTTCCTGTTTGCTCCTTCATCGTCTTTCTGTCTGTCGCCAATCTGCCTCTTCTTCATTAATGATGTTTATGTGTCCCTGGCAGACTCGTATCCTCGGGAATGTATCACACTGAGCTTTTGATGTTCCATTAATCACAAACAGCGCCAAACGAAAGACATTTACTCCATGGGTGAAGGGGAGGGGAGGAAATCAAGCTGACATCATGAGCCATTCTGTTTGAATACAGCAAAAAAAATGAATAAATCTCCTCAGAGAGAAAAAAGTTTCTCTGAGTTTCTCTGTTTGGTCTAAGGTGAGTTAAAGCTTGAATGTAAAAAGAAGGTTTGACCGAGCTTCCCACCAGTTCTGACTCTCGGTGTACTAGTTCTGTTACGCTGCTTGTACCTCACAGCTGGCTGACCAACAGCATCATAATTCCTCCGTGACAGGACTTGTTTTCCTCTCCCATCAGGATCAGGGCTCAGAGCCTCCCTGCTCCTCACCCCACCACCCTCTGGAGAATCAAGACGGATGCATTCAATAGATTTGAACAATTTGATTTGCAAGTCCTCCCACCTCCCTGTCTTAAAACTCTTCCAGCGTCAAGACTTGCATCAGAAATAATAGACTCTGTGTCAGCAGCTGGACAGGGACTGCAGGCGTCAAATGGTGCTGCTTTTTTGTGTGTGTCCCTCATAAAACAGCCATTCTTACAAGGGATGAGAGCCTCGGAGACAGGATGAAGTCAAGATTACACTGTGTGGAGTCTGCTCCACCAGCAGGTCTGAGTTGTAAATTCAGTGGGCACGTTCACCGGTGCTGCTGAGATAACACAGCCGGCAGCAGGAGTGTTGAAGCGAGGAAGGTAATTGCCTCTGTGGAAAATAAAAGCAACAAATGAGGTTAGGAGTTAGTGATGAGGGTGGGACTGAGGGATTTGGGATGCAAGCTATTGAGGGATGGGACAGCACCAATGATTTTTCTATTAAGGCGCCTCAGAGAGTTCACACGTCTTCAGAGTGAGGCTGTTTATTGGCAAAGGCTGGTGATCAATCCTGGAAAACACAGAGGAGCGAGCAACAGTAGAAACACTGGGAGGGGCTGCAAGCCAACAGTTGGTCCTTCTAATTCCACTCTCCATTTATAAATTCACTTTCTCTCTTTTTTATACACTATAACCACCACAGAGCACTGGAGCAAACCTGCATGTGATCCCTGACAGAGGAGCTCCCGAGACTAGATGAACACCTGACTCCACAAGCACGAGGAAGAAATGAAGAAAAAGCTCAATGCTCATCCTGTCTTGTAGGAGATGCTCTTATGGGGCTGCTGCTAGCTGTTTCTCACTGTTGCATTTAATCAAACAGAAAAAGTGCACATTTATAGTTTTAGTAATTCTGTTTGCACAACTGAAGCACATTTGGGACTTAAAAAGCATTTTAAAGCGCATAAAAACTTGTCTTGTACAAAAAAAGTATTTTTAGGAATATTGTGACATTTAAATTGCTGTTGTGAAAATTAAATATTTTCTAGTTAAGAAATATTTTCCTCAGAATTCCGTCTTTCATCTGGGAGTCTGCGTTCCGACGCTGTGCCTCCGCGGCGCAACAGCCGAGAAAGTGAGAAAAGAGGAAGAAACGCTTCCTTACCATCAGCGTTTTCCGTCAGAGGCAAAAACATCCCTCCGTCTAGTCCTGCTCGTAGCGTTCGCAAAAGTGTGTGTGTGTGTGTGCGCGCGCGCACGTCAGGCGGAAGATAGAAGCGCTGCTGCCGGTGCCCGAGCCAAAGTGGACTCGGAGCTGGAGACGCGACACGGATGGAGAGGAAAGGATGGGTGAGGAAGCGTTTCGCCCCCTCCTCCTCCTCCACTCCCCCCAAAACGGGAGACGGGAGATTGGATGCAAGATGCGCTTTGATGGTTCAGGTACGTTTCATCCGAGCAAATGAAGTAACTCAAACTTTTACTGCGATATGGGAGCGCTTTTTTTTTTATTTTTATGTCAGAATTGAACTGGTTTGCTGGAATCTGAGACGCAATATTCCTCCCATCGCTCGGAGGCAGGCTCCATCAACCTCCAGCCAAGCAGCAACAATCATTCCAGCATCCCTGCAGCATCCTCTCTCTGCAGGGGTTCTACACACACACACACACACACACACACACACACACACACACACACACACACACACACACACACACACACACACACACACACACGGGGTTACAGTGACACAATGACCTCTATTTTTCCTCATTCCACTGAAGATGACCGTTATCATCAGATGCCCCCTCCCCTCCCCGTCTCCCCTGATGACCCCCCTCCTGCAGAGAGATGGGCTCTGTATCATTGCCCCCGGGGGGTTACCGTGGGGTCAGATGTGGCCAGTGACAGCTCCATTACTCCTGAAAATGTGGGTGTATTCTGCTTGGGTCTTTCAGATTTATCTCCCGCTGAGGCCCGCTGACAAAACGGTGTCTTTACCGCGTCTCACGGAGAGACTGGTGGAACGACGAAGCCGATGCAGCATCTTTTCTGTTTCTCATCATCTCAGCTGTAAAGTAACCTTCCAACAAAACAAACACCTAACACATCTGATGTTCTCTTCTCCTTCCCATGCAGAAACACAAAATCAACAGAAGGCAAAAATTAACTCAGAAATGTCAAGAGGAGGAGATAGAAATCTACCCACGCAGGTAAAGAGCAAGCTTTTTCTGGTGCTCCGGGGTTGAGGCACATTACCAGTCACAAAGGACAACAAGCTGCCAAGAACACCCAGTGCGTGATACAAAGCGGAGCGTCCTTTCCTCCTGTTTGCACTCATCCCTCCCTCCGCCTGCCTACAGCATCAACTCCCTGATTCTGAGCAGCCAAACGCCCCCACAGCATCTTGGTTAGATTTGAAGAAAAAGTTGAATTTTATCCGAGCGCAATCCTCTGTGGGCCTCTCCCCATTTAGCTATGCCCACACTCGCTCCTAACTTGCAGATGTGAAGAGCACAAACTCAGTTACGTCTGCATTTGAGAGTGAGAGCGTCTTTCATTTTCCCTAACAAAGCTTCATCGATCTATTTTCTGTCTTCTCCACATTTCTGTGATTCACCTCTACATCTAATTTTAACATGGCAGCAGTGTCTCATTGTGCAGACTACGGAACTGCTGCTCCACTTTTGGTACCCTGCGCTCCCGCTAAAAGATGCAATCTTGTTAGCTAGTTTGCCACAAGGGAATCTAGGTCTTACTAAGTTTGCAAGAAGAAGAAAGCCACTGATTCTGTACGGTTCATCTCATTTCAGCGTTCTAAAACGACAATCTGATGTTTGTGCAATAAGCAGGTGAAAGAAAACCCATTTCACCCGCCTGGGTGGAGGTTGGCAGAGCTAAATTAAGTTCGGCAAACCCACTGAAGGTGGATCAGCAGGTTTATTTGTTTCTTTCCAGTCCTGCAACAGAAAGAATGCAGAGAGGTATAAAACAAACAGTTTTTCTTTAATCACTGATTCTACACATCTTAGAACCTCTTTAGGGACAAAACTACACTTAAACGTTTAAGATGTTCCATTTTTTTGGTGCTTTGATGAAGATGCAACATGTTCTGCCCGATAAAAAAAAGATTAGTCAGAAAATTATATTAATAATTTATTGGCTGACTTGATAAAAGTTATGTGATTATCTGAAAATAATAAAAAATAACGGGAGTTAATAGGAATAACGGGGTAGAACACATGGGAAGAGGAAAGTGCTGAACCTGTTTCAGAGGTTTTCTGAAACAGGCATAGCAGAGGTGGCAATTTGACAATAAAGGGGGTATATTGTAGCCTGGCAGACCACATGCAGGGCCAGATTAACACTTTGTTGTACCCTGGGCAACAATATTCAAGGGCCCCATCATCATGACCAAAGGATCACCATAATATGGTCACATACAGAACATTTTACTGTAATATGCAGTAAATATACTCAATACTTGAAATTCTAACTGTCATCAGGTGTGTTTTGATTTACAATTATTTAAATGCTCATAGAACTACAAATGCACCGCTGTGTCCCCTATCAACGACGTCCACTCACATATGATGCTATGAAAACAAAACACATCAGCATCTGTGTAATCTGGTAAAATTGACCCACTACATTGGGTCAAAATGAATAAATAAGCAACCACTTTCAAACCATCATTTATTTAACAATACTCATTCCCAGTAGAAATGTACTGAATAGATAGAGCTTTCACAGAAGACCACAGACAACACATCAAGAAACATCATGGTCCTCGGCTCATTTTAAGCAGAAATCATGCTGACATGATGACCCTGTCTCGTCAGAGTTCAACAAGGCAGTCGAGTTATTAGTCCAACAGAAACGATTTTAAATCTGCCAGTTATCCTTCCACAACAATTTACACCATTTTCATAAAGCTGGCACCTCAAGGAAAAATAATAATAAATTGCAGTATCACTATTATCTACTCGTAAACATGTTGATCCTAAGCTCATTTTATCGTGTTTTAAAATAGCACAACAACATGAGCAGCTAAACATTTTAGTGCTACATAAACATTTAGATGTCTGGATTTTGGCTGTGCACACTGATGTAGAACCCTGTATCTTCAAAATCAAGGCCACCAACAAGTTCATGTCCAACAGCTAGACTAGTAAGTGCAGCGCAGTGTCTGTGACACAGTTTCTCTCTAGAAGACAAGATAAAAATACGACAAAACCTGGCAAAACACACAATTTTAATCCCAAATAATGAGGAAGTGCATGTTTGCTTTCATTTTGCATCTTATGCTGGCTTATTTCTGGACTTTGACTGCGCAAACTGCTGTACAGTATCTTCAAAATCAAGGCCACTAACAAGTTTGTGTTCAATGGCTAAGAGAGAAAGTGCAGAGTCTGTGACGTTGAGGTCTTCAGCTCATTTTTAACCCGTTTCAAAACAGAAAATGACCTCTCGCTCCCACAGGTAAGGTTAAAAACAATCTTAGTGCAACATAAACATTCGGAAATGTTGTCTTAAGTCCACATCTGTCAAGAGGTGTACAGGTGAAGCCTCACGCTGCACAAAGTGCTTGAACTGAAAGAGTTCATCTGACCAGGAACTACCCAGATCTGTTGGATATGTTGAGCTCAGCTTAGCAGCTCTTACATGCACATCACAATCATCGCAGTCCCTCTCAAACAAAACCCCAAAGAGGTCACACACACGTGTGTGTAGGCTTCTGTGCGCTTGGATAAGCATGAATAAAGTCTGTCGGTGATGACGTAATATGTTTCAACTTAAAATTTCTGACTGCTGTCCTTAAAAGCTACTTCGTTGTCATCAGCAGCCCCATCTGAATCCATGTCCCTTTTGGAGTTGGTCACTTGCTGCCATCAAGTACCCGGTCCCACAGCATGTATGCAAGGCTTTGTGTTGCCCATGCCCATCGTATCTGACAGACCTGCCGACTCCACATGTTCCCACTCGTGCCCTTCGTTCAGCAGATCATCTGCTGCTTGTTGTTCCGAAGGTTCGGTACAAATCACGGGGGGAGCGTGCCTTCTCTCATGCAGCCCCAAAACTCTGGAACACTCTGCCCCTCCATGTGCGTTTGGCTCCCTCTGTCAGCAGGTTCAAGTCGGCCCTTAAAACACACTTTGTCAGTATTGCCTTCCCTCCGTGATGAAAATCCAGCACCAGGTTTATTCTTCTTAATTTAGTTTTTACCATCCAGTAGCTCACTTTCAACACCTGGCACCATCTTGTAGCTTTCTTAGTTTTATTTGTGCCATTTCAAATGGTTTTTATCATTCGTCGCATTATTTTTATTTTTGATAACTGTTCTCTTATTCTATTGTTTTTAGCAGGAATTTTTATCCTTGATTATTTATGCTATGTTTTTATGTATTTTAACTGATTCATGAATCTCTTCATGTTTCTCGGTAACAAAGTGAAGCTCTTTGAACAAATTGTTTTCCTTACTGCGTTTATCTCACCGTGTCTGTTATTCTAATCAGCACGGGGACCGATAACAGAGCCACAGTCGTCTTCGGATGGTGAAAGCAGAGGAAATAAGGAGGTGTAATCAATTACAACTGAGAACAGTGTGTTCTGTCACTGAAGCTGTAAATCAGGATTAAACACTTTGTTGGCGAGTAAAAAGGAAAAATCCTGGCTTTAGGTAACTCACTGGGGACATTTACATGTCTTTATAAAACATTGATTTATTCATAAGTAAATACATAACAGATTAATCTTCGGTTTTGGTTCTTTTAGGTCTGTTTGGGGCTCAGATACTTTTTGCAAGACACATATTTATTTTCACAAAGTGATTAAACAAAGAAGAGAACATGAACAATTTCTATCCAGCCAATTCAATTCAATTCAATTCAAGTTTATTTATATAGCGCCAAATCATGACAAGAGTCGTCTCAAGGCACTTCACATAGTAAACATTCCAATTCAGGTCAGTTCGTTAAGCCAATCAGAAATAATGTTTCCTATATAAGGAACCCAGCAAATTGCATCAAGTCACTGACTAGTGTCAGTGACTATACAGCAATCCTCATACTAAGCAAGCATGCAGCGACAGTGGAGAGGAAAACTCCCTTTTAACAGGAAGAAACCTCCAGAGAATCCTGGCTCAGTATAAGCAGCCATCCTCCACGACTCACTGGGGATCGAGCCATCATCCATCCATTATCGTCCGCTTACCCAGGGCTGAGTCGCGGGGGCAGCCAAGGCTTTGCTTGGCCAGGTGAGAGACATAGTCCCTCTAGCGTGTCCTACATCTTCCTTTAGCTCTCCTCCCAGTTGGACGTGCCTGGAAAACCTCAGCAGGGAGGCGTCCAGGAGGCATCCTAACCA